ATAATCTGCTCACACCAAGCTTAGATTTGAGTATAGTTCCCATTCAGATACAGGTTGGATCACTGTTGAAATCAGAGGCCAGATATTCCCCGAGAATTGAATGGGGGTGATAATTGAATTTCCAGAGCAAAACTTACTCTTTGAACAGTGGCTAAGATAATATACTGTATAAATGAGTCATTATAACTCTAGCTGAGAATCTAAGCTGCAGTCCATGCTCTTACTTGAATAATCAAATTATTTATCCAGAAATTGCTAGGTGCTAGTACAATGAAGGGCATATTGTAGCCTCATGCTTTTTGGCTTGCTGTGAGAATTCCGTGTGGCAGCCTTTAACTTTCTTATTAACTATTTGTCAGTGTGGCATAACTCATGAAATAAGAAGAAATGTGGTTTGGGATTTGATTGTGCCATTGCATTAAGTATTTGAAGGCCCCACTGTGCCTTGTGATCAGTGCCAGACCAAAGAACTTCCAAATTAGATATTGAATAAAGTAATAAAGGGTGTGAAAAAGTGAGGCGAGATGGAGTTTTTTATTTGATATAACAAGCTGTCTATTTTTGTTTGTTTTGGTTGTGTTATGGTGATTACTTTTCTGGCATCCATTAGGCAAGAGGTTGAGGTTTCACAATCTGAAGGAATGCATTGTGTCACCTTCAGAGAGGTAACAGACCTGATATGCCATGTGTGCCAATGTTCTTGGCACCTGACATTTGCCTGTTGTGACATAGAGGAAGATGTCTGGCACATTTCAGAGAAGGATGTGTGAAGGAGCTGTCTGGTTAAACATCAGGAATGCTTACAATGTCAAGGAGAGAGGGATGGGAGCAAATAAACCAGAAGACAACCTCAGCAGGTGTGTTTTGAACTGAACTGATGAGGTCCTGGTTCCAGTTTTCAAGACTAGAAAGTTGTGGTAGCCAGGAGACAAGGTGCTGATGGGAGCCTAAAGGCTGCATTCATTGTAGTTAAATGTGAATAAATGTCTGCTTTGCTAATCCTGTAGGCTCCCTGTGTGGAGCAAGATGAGTGACATGAGGCAAGGAGCTCTCATTTTATTAGCTCTTTATGGAGGAAATGGGTGTGTTTTCATCCAAGTGAGATGAAGGTCTGTTCGGAAACTGTTGTAGGGGGAAAGTTTATTAGAAAGTAACACAGGTATATGAAACAGTGATGAAAATATTGGATTAACACATAATATTCTATGTGAAATTCATGCTCCATTGTGCTTTCAACCCAGCCGGCAGAAGCAAAACCAATTGCTTATTCCCATGTGACTGTGTTGTCTCTAGTGTTCTGTGGCCTTGACTAAAAAGCCTTCCACAGAGCAATTGGTTTGTGTCTGAAGCTTTGGGTGTGATAAATGTATTTCATTGAGTTGCCTTGCCAGCAGTGAGATATCTCCTCTGGACTATACTGTGTTCTTTAGCAGGCTTCCCCTTCCCTCTCCAAACTGATTAGATACTGAAAATGATGGAGAATGCAGTGGTCTGTCAGCACAGCTGCTGAACAGGGCATCTCTGGGTATCTCTACCCTGAAGTCTGCTGTATAGGGTGCATATGTTTGATGTGAAGCAAAAAGTCACATAGGAATGGTGCAAAAGAGTTCTCACCCAGTTTGTTCTTATAACTGGCACCAGATCCCCTTCTCAGATAAAAAAAACACCAACCAACAATCCAGAAACCCCCAAACCTTGTTTTGTTGGAGCTCCAAGTCTATTTTTTCCTTGGCTTGAATATCCTGAATTTAATTGCTGTGTCAGTCTGTTTGGCTCTCTCAAACTTACAGGACAATGTACTCTGTGATTTAAACTTTGTTTCGTGAACTCATTAAGAGCTATAACTAACATTACAAAGAGGGGCTCAATCCCATTTTGCCTAGGTCAGTTTATCATGTGAATTTGTTTATGCACCATTCAAGCCATAAGGTTTTGTAATTTATAACCTATAACTCTTAACTGGTACATCTCCAAGCAAAACCAAAAAAGTAAAACTTAGCAGGGGGTAAGAGACTGCTTATCCCTTCTCCTCTGTCGCAGTACAAGTGTTCCCTTTATCACACCAAGTAGCAGGAAGGCCTCAGCAGTCCAGCTCCTGTTGGATTTACTTCTAAAGATTTTTGGGTAAGCTGATATACCTTCCAGCTTGGAGGTTTGACCTATACCATTTTTTATAAGTGAGCAGATTCTGGAGAAACTGCAACAGGAAAGATGACAGGAGACAGAGATTTGCCAGTGATAATGGTGCGTAATGCTCAGAATGGCTCTTGAGCTCTTTCAGACCACCTACTTGGTGCTCTTGCATTGACTTACTGGCACTGTGCCCAGCATCCATCAGGCCTCACCAGCAGGTTAGCCAAAATCTAAGCAGAAGGTGAGTGAACTGTCACACTGAACACACCAGAAATATTTTAAAAAGTCCTTTTTTTCCTAGCAGTTCAAGGGTACCTTCCCACCTTAGAGGTTTGGATCAAGTTATAAATTGTGGTGGCTTTTAAGTAAATTTTTAATGGTGAAGGGTATGATAAATTATCTAGTTGGTTGGACATCCAGACATATTCCAGGAGCAGTCCAATTTATTGCTGAAATATGAGGTTAAATCATTATCAGCTTTGACAACTTCACTGAGATGTAATAAAACATTATCCATCATCCAGAATAGAACACTTGAAATCATTCTATTTAATATATTTTTAATAATAGAAGTGAAAAATAAACAATTTATCTGCAGGGACCTGTTCTTAAACTTGGTGAAAGTGAGGAAACATGGTATTCATTATCATTTGTTCAAGTTATCATTTTGAAGCTGTAAATCAAAATAAAGAACTAGGGTGAATAATTTTTTCTGGAATAGCACTCTTAAATTATTGAACTAAATATGACAGCTACTGAATGCATATTTTTTAAGTATGTGGTGACTTTTCTTAAGACTAGATGATGTGCAACTGTTGTGATTTTCAAAAGAAAACAGAAGCACATGGCAATTTCTCTAGCACTTTTTCTCGGGTAGCCAAATAACACCTGCAGGATCACATTTCCTTAGCCCTTTAACAGTCCTCATTGTACCAGTCTGTGCAGACAAATAAGCAATTGATACTGGGAGTCAATGAATTTCAGCTTCTTTCTCTCAATGTTTAGGGAGTTAATGAAGCCTGGGAGGCTGTCTGAAGCATCAGGTTGGAATGTTACTTCTTGGAATGTTCTGCTTCATTTAAAATATCCCTGCAGCAGGGTGATCCTTTGCTCATTTGAAGATTCAAGGTATCAGAGTGCCCAGCTTGGTTCTGGCACAGTCTGAATATGTGAACTGTTCTGTGACCTCCTGTGTCAGAAGTGCTCATCTTTGAAAGGGAAGAAATACATCTTCCTTCAGTGCTGCATATCTCCTACTGCCTGGGTCAGGAGCTCCTGTGTTTTCTTGTAATGTGAGACACAGCAGGCTCTAGATTTCGATGGAAAATTACATATTCTGTAGAAAATAGCCTGTATGTAGACAGGCTTCAATATGGTTTGGATGCCTCAGTTCTTGATACCTTTTTACTTTTGTTCCTCTTATAAAAAAAAATTCACTAGTTACAGGTTTAGTAGTATCCAGTAAGATCTTAAACAAATAGTTAGCCACAATTAAAAAAACTAAAGCTTAGAATGAGAAATTTTGAAATGCCATCATTAACGAAACCCTCAAAGCAAGGGTTTGAGGTTATGAATTCTCATCCCTTTATCATCCTAAATTTAGTTATTGTTTGGTGTAGTCCTCTAGTTACAGCAGAGTGCAGAAGCTAATTACAAAGCATTTATGCACGAAGTGAATAAAAAATGCCAACAGAATGATTGTATTTGAACACTGCTTTAAAGGTAAAGAAAAAGAAAGTTGTGACTCATTTGTGTTCTTTTTTGGGGGAAGAAATGGCTTTGCCTGAATGTGGTGAAGCTCCCAAAGCATGGATAAAGACTAGGCATAAGGTCATGCCTTAGGAAGAGACTACAGTCAGTGTCCTGAGTCGAGTTCTTTGTGAATCCCATGGGACAGAAGAAAGAAGCCAATTTTGAATCTGGAATGGAAAACTGAGACTATACTTATTACACCTATATGTGTCTGAATCTTGATCTTTTGCTTTGACCTTAACCTGGAACAGTGTTAAGGGAGATTTCATTGGATCAGGTAAAATTGGGTCATTTCGTTCCCACAGTATTTGGAATCAAGGAGCTGGGCCAGTACTGGCTGCAGTACCAAGTACACAACAGACTGCTGCAGGTTTCCTGGTGAATTGTATCTGTCATGGACCAGGGTGCTGGTGCAACCTGGTCAATGATGGATGCAATTCAATCATTGTAAAAGATGTTTCCTTTACAGTATGTAAACCAATTGTTAGAGGATGTACATTGGTAAGCATATTTTCCATGACTGAGGGTGCTTGACTGTCAGAAGACTATAGCTTTGTGAAAAGATATGTCACTTAGATCTGCTTGGCCTTTTGAGATCTATGTCATATTTCAAATCCTAAGAGTTGGCTTGTGAAAGTGATTGTTCGCTGTAAGAGTTTGAATGAACCTAATGCTACTATTTAAGATGTTTTGTGTGGGTTTCTTTCCACTTCTTGCCTGGTTCTTGGTAATGGAGCTAAATCCTTTGGAATTTTATGAATTTGACTGTCATTCCCCTGTCCCTCCAAAGATCTGGGAATTACAATGTATATTCATTGAAGTGCATGGGAAACTGGCTTCACTCAAACTTCATTTTAGTTCAAATTATCCTTTGAATTTCCCTTCGTTTGATACTGTGTTGACTGCACATACCTTCACTTGATATTGTGCAGTCAACATGATATCAAATGAAGGGAAATTCAAGTGTAGCAGTTCTTATTCATTATGCTATCTGTGCATGCACACTATATGCGAAAACATTTCTAGTGTTTGAGGCTGGAATGTGTATTTCTCTTCCCATTTCTTGGAAGTGATTTGCTATTAACCATTTGTTGAATGTACACTGCCATCTCTTTTTCCTAGGAGCCATCATTTGAGATGCTTCCGTTGTCTGGGAAAACAATAATATTTGATAGCTTTCCTGATCCTTCAGATACCTGGGAAATAATTGAGACTATCGGCAAAGGAACTTATGGAAAAGTTTTCAAGGTGTTAAATAAGAAAAATGGCAGCAAAGCAGCAGTCAAAATTTTGGATCCTGTTCATGTAAGTTACTTAAATTACTTGGTTAATTGCGAGTTTTTTTCTCTTAATCTTTGTAGATAATTTGTATTAGAAGTGCCAGTGAAATAAACTATTTCAGCCTGCTATGTATCAGGCTAGCTGTCAATGCATTTTTTCTTAACATAAGTGATCTTGGAAGTGGTTGCTTATGGTAAAAGTCAGAAATATACCTAAACGTTGTTGCTTTTATTTGTTACCCCTTCTCTCTTGTTTTCGGAAGCAGAGCTGATTTTTTTCCTTTTCACTATTAGGAGTCCTAGCTTATTCTATTTTTACTCTTGTTACCTTTCCTTTTTTAAAGTTTTTGACATACTGGCCAGTAAGGAAGTTATGTTCTTCTAAGTACTTAAGCTGTACCTTCAAGCATCTGAATACATGCTTGTAGCTGAGTTACATGCTATGAGTGATACTTCAAAAATAAAATAGCATACTTTATTGTTATTGTTCATTCTGTGTTTTCAGAATGTGCCAAAGCAAGTAGGTCTCACAGAGGAATCCATCTTTTCAAATGGAAAATGCAAAGGGATTAGCTCTACACACAAAGCACCAGGCAACTGGAAGGTGAAATTATGAAGTTGTAGAGCACGGTTTTGTTCTCAATAACTGACATTTGTTGGGTGGCAGATTAATGCTCAAAGAATAAGGAAGAACACTAGTCTGGTTTGTATAGGCGCACCCCACTGACTTCAGTGGTGCTGCATGTGGCTTGGGACTTTTCTTGAGACCAAAACATGGGAAAGCAGCTGTTCATATTTTGGAGGCCCTTTTAAGTTCATCTTCTGCACTCCCAGTGTAGGTTTGTGAGGCGTGTGCTTCCGTGGCATGACCTCTGGGCAGAAATGGGTGAGCATGCCATGCTCTGTGGACCCTACAGGTCTGGAGCTGCACAGCCACATGGGGCTCTTCTACCTCTGCACATCACACAGTGTCAGATTATGATCCCATAGACACAAAAGTCTGTGAAATACATTGGTGAAGACATAATGTCGTCAGTTATCTATGCTGTGTTTCTTGCTGATCTGCTTTTTATTTCAGCATGCTTTCAAAGCCACAAAAGGGTGTTCATCTGGATTCAATGCCACAACCTCTTCCAAAGTAAACATAACTTGCCAAGTGATAAGCATCTTGATGAGTTCAAATGTATTGGAAACTATTTTTGACTCTATTGCTTTCTGTAAACAAGGTTCTTGTGCTTACAATAAATAGGCATGACTTCCTTGTGATTGGTGTTCATCTAAATGCTTGTTTGGTAGGAAATGCTTTTGCTTTCCTGTGCTTCAGAAGTGTTCAGGAGTGATTCTTAAGTGGCAGCTGGCTATGGCAGGAATTCCTGAAGAAATCAGTGAAACTTTCAATATTCTGTACACTTTGGAGGTTGCAGAAAAAAGATTAAAGGATGATGATAGAAAGAAAAAAGAAACAGTAAAGCTGATGCTAGAGGAAAGAGAAATAGATTAAGTAGGAAAGTAAAGGAGATGGAAGAAATAGGATGGATAAAGATACAATATAAGAAATTGAAGATGGGTAAATGTATAACTGATGAAAACAGGTTCCTTATTTTAATGAAAAAATGGCAGTAGTGCAGTCAACATCAGTTTTCAAAGACTTTTAACTAAATGTTTTTTATTCTAAGAACACTATTCTTCTTTGCCCTCTTCTATTTACAAGGTGTCTGGAGTAGCTGCTGTACCTCCATGTTACTGCTAAAATGACAATCCTATATTGGAAATAAAGGGAAAGCAATAAATGAGTTCTTTTTATTTAAACTGAAAGTATTAATAATGGCTGCAGAGGGAGCCATTGCAATAAAGGAAAAGATACTTTATATATTTTCTTCTTTACATTTTACAATTCTTTTTCTTTGGAGATTGTTTCAAAATTGTGCCTCTTGAGAAGTAGACGGGAAACAAAGCAGAAGAAACATGGTTTGGTTTAACTGATGTCTTGAAAGTAAACTGGGAACCTACATTATCATGGGTGATATAAGACTGAAATAAGCTTTTAATGTTTAATGCTTTAGTGCACAGACTCTTTTTGCTGGATAACAGCTCAGCTTTTTAAAACTGAAACAAGAAAGCAAAGGTGTTGAAATGAGAATTTATGAAGATGGAACTTCGAAGGCTTAGTCTTGTCCTCAGGACTATAAGTAAATACCATTGTACTTTAGAACTCTTAGCCGAATTGTCCTACATATAGGATGAAAATTTTCAGTCTACCATTTCTAATACAGATTTTTTATGAAGGTAAATATGCTAAATTCAACAAAATATTTCAAGTTTTTTCCTTCATAAAATACAGAGGAATAATTTTCATTTTGGTAGGCACAGAATGAATATTCTATCATTTAATTTCTCCTTATAATTGTAAACATCTCATAAAATCTGAGTAACCCTCAGGAGACAGAAACCTCTATGAATTCACAGTAGGACAGTGGGCTAATTCTCTTCCAATTTCCCCAAGGCAGTCAAAACTATTGTATGCTTTGTTTTTAATTTTTGGCTTTTGACTGTTTTTTTTTTCTTTCTTTTGTTTTTGTTGGATGTGTTTTCTGTCTTCATCCCTGCTTCTTTCTTTTTCCATTCACTGCTATCTTCAGTACATTGGTTCTTTCTTCCTTCCTTGTATTTTTTTTTCTGTATTCTGTGTTGTGCTAGGGAAAATTACCTTAAAATGAGTTTATCCTTTTTTAGAAAGAGGGAAATTGCTGCTGTTTTTCAGTTGTTCCAATAACAAGACTTCTAAAATCCTTCCTTTGAGAAGACTTATCCTGGTAATCTTAATATGAAAGTTTAATGGCCTGATTCGTGAAGATACTGGTGACAGAGGAAGTTCATGGAGAGCAGTCAAGCTGGTCTCAAGACAAAAGGCTCCTGTGAGGAACTTGAATAGGACAGTGGAAACCTGTATAAGAAACAAATGAGCAAAGTGCTCTTGGGGCAGGTGTGTTGAAGAGAATGAGAAGGAGCATCGTTCATTGGGAATACAGAACATCCCCTTTCTCTCCTGCAGTCACTTCTATTTGGCTTTGCTGAGGCAGGTTTTTGGCACTGAGTAGAACTTTTCACTAATATGAAATCCATTCATAAAGGAGCCTTCTTCTAGAATGGATTTTTCACTTCTTTTTGTGTAGTTGTAAATAGCAAATTGTATTAAAAATGTTTTAAGCCTGAAAATGATTGTGTTAATCTTTTTTTTTTATTTTTTTTGAGATCTAAACTATGAGGGGAAAATGGCTGCAGATATTTGCTTTTATCTGTTGTCAAGAGGGATTGAATATTTTGTCAGCATGACTCAAATGCAGTGCAACCATCATCCCTCAATGAGCAATTCCAGTGCACAAGTGGGAAAGGTTTACCTGAGTCATCCAATGCCTGCTAAAGCCTACCAATGCCTATGTCCATTTTTGGCCTGAAGGGATTTGCACAGCTCCCAGTGCATCTGTTGGCAAAACTGGTCCTCATATCTCACCTCCCAAAGGATTTCCCTCACTAAGAAACCCAAGGTCTGTAATGAAAGTGTGACAAAAAACCATGATTTCAGTAGCAGATCCCAGAAAGATCATGGATGTCACCAGCTTCTGTGACAGTAGAAAATTAGAAGAATTCCCAGATAATTCTAGAAAGTGGGATGGCAAATGAATGAGATGCGGCTGAAGTCATACTTGTTCATGCACAAAGAGAGAGGTAGTCCCAACTGCACCATTTCTAGCTGGGGTTACCATTAAGACGAAAGCACGTACTTTCACAAGGCATCTGCATACCTACCTGCTTGTGGATTGCTCTGGCTTTGCCTTGACATCACAGAACCATTAAGGTTGGAAGGGACCAGTGATGGGGTCATATGATCTAACCTCCCTGCTCAAGCAGGGTCTTGCTAGAGCACATGGCACAGGATTATATCCGGAGAGTTCTTGAATCTCTCCAGAGAGGGACACTCCACAACCTCTCTGGGCAACCTGTTCCAGTGTTCTGTCACTCGTGTAATAAAGAATTTTTTCCTCATATTCAGGTGGAACTTCCTGTGCATCAGTTTCTGCCTGTTGCCTCTCATCCTGTTGTTTGGCACCACTGAGAAGTGCCTAAATCCATTTTCTTGACATCCCCGCTTCAGACACTTGTAGAGATTGTTGAGGTTCCTCTCAGTTTTCTCTTCTCTGAGCAGGCTCAGTTCCCTCAGCTTTTCCTTATAAGAGAGATGTTCCAATCTCTTCATAATCTTCATAGCTCTCCTCTGGACCCACTCCATTAGCTCCATGTCTTTCTTGTACTGAGGAGCCCAGAACTGGACGCAGCACTCCTGGTATGGCCTCACCAGGGCTGACTAGAGGGGCAGGATCACTTCCCTCAACCTGTTGGCAATGCTTTTCTTAATACAGCTGAGGATTCCATCAGCCTTCTTGGACCCCCACTGCTCTCTCATGGTCAACTTGTTGTTCTCTAGGACCCTTGCTCTTCCTGAGGGCTACTCTGTCATACCCCACATGTTCATTAGTCAAAATTGATAAAGACAAAATAAAATTTTAAAAAAATAACTAAACAGAACCATGCTTTGTAGTTCTATAAATTTGTGTTCTATTTGTTTTTTATTTCTTTCTATCATTTGAAACTACATTTGAATTGACAGAAAATACTTTGTGGTTGGCTATCATTATTTGTTTGTTAACTGCTATGTATTTCTTGTTTGTGACACTAGGATATTGATGAAGAAATTGAAGCTGAGTACAACATTTTGAAAGCTCTCTCTGATCATCCCAATGTAGTCAAATTCTACGGCATGTATTATAAGAAAGATGTGAAAAATGGAGACCAGCTTTGGCTAGTTCTTGAGGTAAATAATATAGAAAAAAAGGAGGTTTATTCCAGTTGGTATTCCATTGTTGAGTATAAACTCAATAAATGAGATTCAAGTAATTTGTGTAATGCTTTTTTTAAGAGTAGTTGCATGCAAAGTGATAAATGCTGCTGTTTAGTCTTTTTACTCTTCTGATTAAACTGTTCGGTGTTCTTATCTTGATATTACACTGATAGTCCTGTGCCTTCCTGATTAGGATATAAATTCTAATAAACACTTAGGATTTGCTACCTAGTATCTTTCTTTGGTGAAAGGCTTGCCATGGGAATCTTCTTGTAGTAACATTTCTTTAAATATCACTAACATATGACATAGCAGTTAAAGAATACAGTATGGTGATTTTCTTCCAAATGAAATTATAGAAATTATTTAACTGAATTCTTTTTTTTTTTCCTGTGGGAGGTAAATGTACAAATAGATAAGTAAGGTAATAAAAGCAGCTTCTGCCCAAATGCTGTTGACAGCAGCAGGAGAAGAGTACTTAATTTTCCTCAGATTAAGTTCAGAGAAAAATGTGTTTGTCTTTAGTTTTGAGTAATCTGTGAGCAAAGGTTCTTGATCATTACAGTTTCTATAGATTCACATCCTGTTCTGTAAAAACTTCCTCTTGCATCCAAAGGAAAATGAAGAATATTTCTGACACCAATAGTGTGCTTTTCCTAGGAATCAAGACTTTTGCTGTCATTTGATCAGAGTTTGATAAGGTTAAGATTGAAGAATTGGTTGTATTTTATGATGTGTCAGCTGAGTAAATACAAATCTCCTACCAAATATCTCAATGATACAATGGTATCAAATTCTAGAAAGAAGCTATCAGCAATGCATAAGGTCTAAAAAAATAGATTCCAAATTCTTATGTGTTCCATTGGAAGATGTTTTTAAGAATGGTTTGCATTGCAAATCATAACAAATTATTAGGTTAGATTGACATCAAAAGGTATCAGGTCTTTGTGAAGTGAGCATCTTGGAAAATATGGTGTCCATTGTGTCTGCTGGGCATTGGAAACTCCCGTCTGTGAAACTTCTGACCTGTAAAGGATGGATGCCAAACAGCCAGGCTCAAACTGGGAAGAAACAGTCAAGTGTTTATATTTGAACTTTTATATTTCACATGGAATTATGTTCTTTATGTGAAAAACATGAGCCTACATGTGGATTATGTTTTATATTTACTCTTTTTAAGCCAAGCTGTACATGTGCAAGTTTGGACTGTGTAGAACAGTCTTTTCTGTCACTGCACATGTAGATCTGTGAATGCAATGGATTTCAGCTGGTAGGTGTAGATATGCATAAGCAGTAAAAAAAATTTCAGTATTGACTTTGGTGAAGGCTTCCTATTAATAATAGTGTATGTGAAAGAAAACTGTCATGAAACAGATTTCTCTGTTCAAGTGGCATCTTCTTATCAGCTTGTGTGCAGCTTTACAGTTACAGTTTGCTTTTCACAGCAGCAATTAAGGTGTCCTGCAGTTTATAAGAATGAGTATCTTTTTGTCATCTTCATTTTCTGTTCTTTGATGGCATATATGAGCAAGACGATTTGGAGAGAAAGTTTCTCAAATCCCCCTTGGAATGGGTTGTGATAGGTGGTAAAACTCAACATTTAGTAAAGAATTTAGAATCACCACTGCAGGTTACCAAAAATGTTATTCACTGGAGTGTTTGAATACATATATTTTGATGTTTGGGTTTGGGTTTTTTTTTTTTCCTAGAAGAAAAAATCTTCAGCTTTTTAAGATGTGTCCCATGCAATGTATTTTTAAGAAAACTACCTATGGGCATGAAAGTGAAACCAGAAAATATCTGTACAGAATGACAGTACTCTTGACTCTCAGCTCAGAAATGCCTTTCTCTCTGTAGGCTGCACTCAGATAAGCTGAGCATCTGCTCCTCCTTGAATGCTGTTCTAATCACATTTATAATACAGAATGTTGCAGGAAGGAGGATTCCTGCCGAGTGCATTAAGATTTGCCGTGTGTTTCCAGAGACTCAGGCAGGAGGAACTGTCCTACTGAGTCTGTGCTGGAAAGAAATCTTGTACTCGGGATGAATCAGCTTAGCAGTTTGATGTCAGCAGACAGCAGCATGATGACACAGCTGAGGCAGTGTGCTGTAGCCCATTTCTTTCTGCTCTGGATGTTAATTCAGAAGAGAAAACATCTGAGATAGTTGGAAATCATCTGATGGAAGATGGAGCAGAAAGGAATTGTGTCAGACCCCTACAGGTGGGCGTGTAGGTCTTAGACAGGTGGGGAGAGCACATGGCACAGGCCTTGCCTGGTGCAAAGAACAACCTAGGCAAGAAAGAGTGAAGGCTGACAGGCCATAGCAAGGTAAATGGTAGGTATTACACAGCTTTTACTTGCTGCTATAAACCAGATTCATAATGCAACATATTTCTATAGTTCACTTCCTACAGAGATCAAGTAGAACTTTTAAGAAGCATCTCAGTCCATTTTCAAAAGATGCAAAGCTATGCGTTCCCTATTTGAATTTGGTTGAATTTGAGTCATGTAAGTATGCTAGTGTATTTTATTGTCATCAATATATTTGTATAGGAAAGAGAGGAAGTATGCATAATTTATGCAGTAAAAAAAAACCGCAAAACTTATTTAATGGGCTAAAACTTATCTTGGTAGGGGAAAAATTTTGGAAGGAATGAGTTTCCACCCAAAAATAGTTTCGTAATATCAAAGCGTGTTGTGGAAACCTCTCACTTCTGGAGAGGTAGAGGGAATTGCCAAGTGTTACAGAAATATATTCCTTTCACTCTGCTGAATGTCAAGAAGACTGACAAAATATTCTTTTTAGGTGGTTTGTTTTTTTTTTCTTGAAGTGTGTATATGAACATTTCAAGAACATTTGCTGAGTTAGGCCAATTATTCTTGCAGCTCAACTTTCTGTGTACTGTGGTGTCACTAGAAGATGCTATTTAGGAAGAGTTTGTTATTCAGTTTTTGCAGTCCACTTCCCTCATGATTTCCAGCAACCATGATTTCTGTATTACAGACTATTACAGACTACATCCCAGACTATTCCATTTAGTATCCATTTATGGACACACTAAACCTGATGCTGATACAGGCATGCTCTATAATCTCCTCTTATGAGCATACAAGTTGAATTTTTGCACCACTCTTATATGCTGATTTCTATTTATATAATATTCCATGTAGTAGAATGTAATGCTTGCAACATGGCAAAAATGTTTCTAAATCTAATTATATTTCAGTGTGAAGAAATTTAGACTCCTGTTCATATGAGATGGGGAAATATGTTACAATTTCCAGTGGATTGCAGGCTCTATTTTCTAGCCAGCTCTTTTGTTGAAAAGTACCTGCAGAGGAGTTGATGCAATTTATACAGGCGCACAGTCCAGACTGAGTGAACCTGATTTATCGTTGTTCTCATGTGGAACCTTTTGTTGATCTAGTGTAATCTTCACCAGAGAAATCATGTGGGAGTGTAGAGTGGCTTCGGCTTGGAATCTGCTTCTCTGAAGAGGTGATAATTTGTGGAAATCTGGATTTTTTGCAAAGTGGTATACTTTGAGTTTCATTGTCTAAATGTTTTTCTTGATGTTAATTGAACCTGCTAACCAGACACTGATAACTCAAAAGTATTACAGAAATATTGTCATGATGGATTCTTGTGATTCAGTTGGCAGCTATGTTTGCTGATTTATAATTTGCCTGAAGTGATTCAGATTTTTTACTTACCTTTGATCATTTAAAGTTAAAATTAAGAGGGAAAAAAAAAAGTGAAATGTACAAACATCTAAATGATCTTTTAAAGTCCTTGGGATGCTTTTATTTGTGATGGGGTTTTTTCAGAAAGAAGAAAAAAATCTTAAACCCAGTAAGTAGAAGCTCTCAGGAGTTTGAATTAAACTAGAATACAGAAGACTGGTGCATCAGTTCACCTGCCACTCTTTCTGCAAACATAGACAAAGTGAAAACCCATGGTTAATCAGAGTATGGACATTGTAACAATTGTAAATGTAGCACCATATGGAAAAAAGGAACAAAATGCCAGTATGTCAAACTGCCAGCCTGCTATACCAGGGTTATGTTGGTCCATTATTATTAGTTTACTTCCAGTAAAGTGCTTGCAACAGGGTAAGAGCTGAGAGAGAACCAGAAAGCAGACTGTTGCTGTGTTATGGGCACACAGTAGCCCACCAGTGCAGCTCCTGCCCAGTTACCAATCACAAGGGCAGTTGCCTTTGGTGAGGTGTTTAAATGAAATGAGAATGTAACAAGCTGAGATCCCTGAGAGAACTCCTTTCTGGTTTTATGGAGATCCTTTAGAAGAGCTACCATTCTTGAGTTTGCCTAGAGATGGAGAGCCCAGCACAATGTGTAGAGTATCAGTTATTCACTCCTTTCCTGTCAGAAAAGTGACTCTTCATAGCAGAGAGATTTCTTCAAAGGTTTAAGCCAATAGAAAAAATAGCTTTGGAAATGGAGAACTGAATGGATAACAGAAGTCAGTTGTGATCCCAATCAGCAGTAGGCATTTGTCAGCACTGTTGTACAGGAGAGTTATTAAGGAGGATTTGAAGGAGGATGGTGCTATGGTTTTCTGGTTTAGCTGCTCCTTCAAAGCAGAATGGAAAACAGATACACAGTAATGGATACCACTGTGAGCTGACCAAGGATAGAAGTAGATCTCTTTTTCCATAAGATATGGTATTAGCACTGCTGTGGGCTTTGACAGGTAAAGCATCCAGCTCATGTTTGATGTGATTGAGAGAGGGCAGCCAGCATGAGGGTTCAGAGGCATAATGGCATGGTTGGAGATGGTTGGTTAGGGATAAGTACTCATTAAAGCCAAGAGAAGAAGGTGTTGCAAGAACTCCTGCACAAAATTAAGAATGCTGTAAAATACATGTACACTGCTGCATCTGGCCTGGAGTGAGTCTGCAGTGCTGTTGCACTGTTGTATCTGCTCTTTTGGAGAGAGAAATGTAGCAA